CTTCACATTGCCAATAAAATCTATTTTCTCGTTTTGTTTGTGTCTGTCCTCCCATCCCCACTAGGAGGTCAGCTCCATGGGGTGGGGGAGACTTGCCTGGCTTGTCCTCTGCTATAGCCCAGCACCAAGAAGCGGGCCAGGAGCAAGGAGGATGCCCCTCACGTGTTGGCTGATGGGCAGGTCACGCTCTCTCTCTGGGCCTTGTTCTCCCTGCTGTAAACCGAGGAGATGGCACAGGTGTTCCTCATCCAGTCCTGATACTTGTGGGTTCACCTCTGTGGGCTCTCAGGTCACATAGGGCCCCACCTTGCCCAGCGTTCTTATGAGGCTGACAGATGGCAAGCCAGAGAGTCTCTTTCAGCCAGGAACTAAGACATGTAAGAACTACATCTTCTGATCATTAATGTCCAGAGGTAAAAAGGGGGTGGGATGGGGGGAAGAAGAGTCTTTTCTGCCAGCCCCAGCCCCCTTGTCTCCTGCTGGACTATGAAGCAGACACACCGCCTCTGAGACACTCTCCCCCAGCGAGCACTGAGCAGTGTCCAGTGAAGCAATCCCCAGCCTGGGCCTGAGACCAGCCAGGATGTGGTGGGCAACTGAGCAAAGCCATGCATGTTCCATCAAACCCAGGGCTCCACAGGGAGCCTTCGTGAGGGGGGCTCAGGGGTGATGTGAGACATCAAAGCCACCAGCAGGTGGGGGTGAACCAGCCCACACAGGAGAACCCCCACCTGTCCTGCTCCAGTTCTAAGCCAGGCTTTTCTCTCCTTAGTCTCCAAGCTGAACCCAACACCCGCCCCCCATCCTCCCCCTCCTCCCCCTCCACACTCATCCCACGTGTCAGGCCTGATGAAAGAGCCTGTTCCCTGTGGGAGCATTGAGTCCTTTCTAGAGAGGACAGAGCCCTGTGGGCCGGGTCCAGCCAGACAAGGGTGTTTATTAGGCTAACCACCCGCGGAGGCCCTCAGAAGAGGGGCCAGGGCCTGAGCGGTCGGATTGTGAGGCCCAGAGCAGCAGACCTGTCTGCGGGATCCAGGACAGGTTGGGAAGTGTGGCCAGACAACCCCAAGTCCATCCCCTGGGGCAATGAGCCTTAATACTACCTCTTATAACAAAACAATCAATGCTATCCCCCTTCCTTGTGTAGAGATCAAGCTCATCACCATTATAACCTACTGTGTACATAGTCCCAGTCACACCCTATGTGTGACATATAATGACATACACTTTAGCATGAGAACCCTTTTGGAGGAGGTGGTACTGTCTGGTCGAGAACCACTGGCAAAGTGTATAGGGACATTACACTGGTTTCTCAGTGCTGTCTGGTCACCTGGCTTCCCCGTTGCCCATGACTGTCTCTCCACTGCTAGCGCCATGTCCAGCACATAGCCGGTGCTCAATAAATACTGATGGAAGAATGGATGAAGGACTGAAGGAAGAATTCAGTCCATAGTGGGAAGTGCTGATGGTGTCATGAGTGGGATATTATTGGTGTCATGAGTGGGACAATGAGATTGTGACAGGGCCCTCTCTGAGCCCACTAAGGGGCCCAGTAGCCCTGCACCACTGAGAGCCTGGGGGGCAGCGGGACATACGTGGGCTTGCTCTTATTGGCATCTCTGCCTCTCCAAGCTCCCCACACACTCCTCCAGGCTGCAGGCTGCCTTTGTCTCTGTCTCCCCTTGGCGCCCAGCACAGCGTCTGCCACAGAGTGGGTGCCCAATAAACACCCGTTGAATTCAATGCATCTCAATTCAACCAACATTTATTGAGTGCCCACGATGTTGAGTGTCACGGTCCCACCTTCCTTGTGTGCACTATGGAAGAACATCCTGGGGCTCAGTGGGTAAACCCTCTGCTCACTCAAAGGTGTCTGCAAACAGAGCAGTGATGATGGACTCACATTCAGGCGCCACCAGAAAAGAGGGTGGGGCAGCTAGAACCCATCCCCCTGAATCCCCACAGGCTTCCCCGAGCAGCATGCCTGGCCCCATGCATGGCCGGAGCCCAGGTCCTTGCTGCTGTCTCCATGCATGCGGGGAAGCAGGCTAGCAGTGTCAGGAAGGAACTAGGCATGGCTACAATGGTTAGGCACAGTGGGCATCCTGCCCAGAGGAACCAGTGTTCGAGCACCCAGAATCCCAGTCATCACAGATGTCAGTAACAGAGATGGACACATGCACGACACGGTGTGTGGGCTTTGGCGGGAGGCCCCCAGTTAGGCCAGGGATTCCAGCAGACCAGACACACCCCTAAGGAAGAGCTCGCACACCCACCTGGTTTGCATGCCCACCAATGCTCACATGTGCACCTGCTCTCATATACCAGCCTGTACTCACACACCCACCTGTTCTCACACACCTACCTTTCACACACTTGCCTGCATTTGCATAGCCTCCTGCACTCACAAGCTCACCTGTGCTCACACACCTGCCTGTGCTCACACACCCACCTCTCAGATGCCCACCTCCTCTTGCACACCCATCTGTACTCACATGCCCACCTACACTCACACGCCCACCTGTGCTGACATGGCCATCTGCAGTTGTGATGAGGATGCAGCAGTAAGGGACAGAGCAGGGACCAGCAAGCCCTTGCAGGTGTGAGATGGCCAATGAAACCATCTGGCATAGCCTCTGGCCCCGGCTCCCCTGAGGTCAGCCACGTTGTCAGGCCCAGGTGGACATTATTTCTGGAATTTGCAGGTGAGGAAGGGGAGTATGGAGGTGAATGCCACACTCAGAGGCCAGACACAGGCAGTGGCAGGCAGGTCCCCATGGGCCAACCCAGTTTCAGCTCAACCTCCCCACACCAGGCCCCCGTCTCTCCTGGCCCCAAGGACAGGGAGGTCACAGACAGAGTCCCAGGGGCAGCAGCTAGCCTCCCTGAGGGGGTCCAGACACACACCAGCCCTGCAGATGAAAGCCTGTCCACTGCCCAGCAGGGAAAGCCTGGAAGCTGGACATAGCACCCCAGACATTCACTTCCCAAGAGCTCTTGGTACCTGCCACAAAGAACCCCCAGGCCAGGACACCAACCAAGTGGGGGAGGGTTGAGATGCTGTTGAGCAGGTGGGACAAGAGCCTGTGGTTGTTGGTGACCATGGAGTCCATTCTGACCCACAGTGCCCCTAGAGAACAGAGTGGAACTGCCCACAGGGTCTCCAAGACTGTCAGTCTTCATGGAGCAAAACCCAAACCACACCCACTGCCCTGGAGTCCATTCCAACCCACAGCGCCCTAGAGGACAGAGTGGAACTGCCCACAGGGTCTCCAAGGCTGTCAATCTTCACAGACGCAAAGCCCAAACCACACCCACTGCCTGGAGTCCATTCTGACCCACAGCGCCCCTAGAGGACAGAGTGGAACTGTCCACAGGGTCTCCCAGGCTGTCAATCTTCATGGAAGCAGATCTCCAGGTCTTTCTGCCATGCAGACAGTGGGTGGGTTTGAACCACCAATCTTTTGGGTAACAGACAAATGCTTCAGCATTGTGCCACCAGAGCTCAAGAGCATACACCCTTCCAAAGAGAGTGACTGATGGGAGAAAGCCCATGCAAAGCACAAAAGCCTGCAACCTGCGCCCGGACTGCAGCAAGCGTGGCCTGCTCGTGGCAATGGGGCTGGGAGAGGGAGTGGGGTGAAGACTGGCTTGTTGCCACCCACTGGGGGTCTGGAAGGCCCAGGCTGGCAGCAATGTCTTGGCCGACGAGTCTCCTGTGACCCAGTTCCTTGTAAGCCCCGACCCTGCCTGCTGGTGGGAGGGGGAGCCTTCCACACCCCATCCCAACCACTCCCAAAGGAGCAAGCTGCCATTTTGGACAGACGCTCTGAGTTTGTTTTGGTTTTTTATGGTGTGATCACGTGTACATGAGGTCCAAGATTCCAGTGCCGGGACCCCAGCGGGAGGGGAGGCATCAGGGGTGAACAGACACCGCTCACAGAGACCGCACACAAAGCACGCCTTTCTGCATTCCTGTTATTTTTAAACCAATCACGACTGGCAAGCCTCTCACGTCCTCACTCTCCTCTCATGCGCGGAAGCTGAGACACATCGGAGCACTTCAACTTCCACTTGCAGAAGCGCCTGGGGCTGTCATGATGATGAGGATGGTGACCACTTACTGAGCATCTGCTATGGGCCAGGCAGGGCACCAGTGTGGGCAGGGGTGTGGCTCCTTGCATGTCTGTCAACAAGCCAGCGAGGACGCCAGCACCCCTCACCCTCATCCACTGATGGCGGACAGGCAGAGCGGAACCTGGCTCTGAACTCAGGCCTGTCCCTCTGCAAAGCCCCCTCTTCCGTCTGCATTCTCGTCCACAGGTGCATCCCGTCGGCCTCAGCTGCCAGCTAAGCCTCAGCCTGGGAGCCCCCATACCCTACGCACAGCTGAGAGCCCCGAGTCCATTCTGGGAGATGCTGAGGGAGTCTGGCTATGGTCACGCCTATAGTTTATTGCACCTTGAAGCAAGCAATCTTCTTTGGCTATCTGTGCTACAAGGCCTGGCCTTCTGGCTTCGGGAATGAGTAATTGCCTCCAGGACCAACCACGCCTGCTTCAGTCTTCACGATGCCCCTGGGAGCCAGGCAGACTATGCCTTTTTGGGTCCCTGGCCCCAGTGAGCCACCAGGAGGGTGGGCCCACGCCCTGTCATCGACTCCAAGTCTGGCCTTGCCCACCAGGCCCGTGCCCAGGCTGTACCCCGGGGGTCTCTGAGCCAGCAGGCCTGGGAGGGTTTTCTAGAACGGCTCAGGAGCCAGGCCAGCTCAGCCTTCCTGCAGCCCCAGGAGCACTAGAGGAAGACCCACGGTGACCCCAGCTCTCAGCACACAATCTAACGCCGGTCCCAGGAACGGCAGGCGCCAGGAGGGTTTGCACCCGTATTTGATCTGCTCTTGCATTTTCTAATGAGCAAGCTTAAGTTTTGGGGGGTCAGCTTGGAGCTGGGGGCCCCTTTACTGCACCCTGGGATGCTTCCCTGCTCAAAAGGACCACTCACGTGAGTAAGAGCTGTCACCTGGCAGTCTCTGGAGAGGCTCTCTGTCTGTGCCGCTGCTGTGTGACAGGGACTGGCTGTCCAGCTCCGGGGAGTTCGTCCTGGTGTCCGCATCCCCCTTGAGGGTCAGCCAGCTGGTCTTCTGTGGGGGAAAGACCAAGTGCCCTGTGAACAAGGTGGAACATGGCAACGGCAGGAAGTCGTGCCAGCCCCTTATGGCCGCTGCCTGCTTCTGATCCACAAGGTGAGCCCGCGGCGGGAGAGCCCAGCACGTGCAAAATTCCAGAGCATGACAATAAACAGTCCAGCACGTGGCGCAGCCCAATCAGATTCCAGGCACAGGAACACGGGGGTAAGGGTGTCACCCCACTTTACAGAGGGGCTCGGGGAGGCCAACAGACTGGCCGTCCTAGAGAGCAGGGAGGCGGGCGGCCTCAGCTCTACCCTTGCTGGTGGGCGCCGCCATCACGCTGGCCCTGACTCGCCGGATCCTGTGCCCTCCCCGGGACTGGACTGCTGTGGCCCGTGGGCTCCTGCTGGCTGATTACGGAGGTCAACCACCAGCCCTTTCTTCCTCGCGCGTCTCAGTCTGGACGCTCCACTGAAGCCTGTTTGGCCTCACAGCGACATGCCACCTCCACGGACGGGTGAACACGAGGTAACGAACTCTGGGGCATAGTGCCTAAGGCATTTCAGTGCTAGCCAGAGGGTCGGCAGTTCAAACCCACGAGCCACGCCTCAGAAGGCAGGCAATGTGCTTCTGTTAAGATTTCCTGCCACGGAAACCCAGCAGGGGTTGCCATGAGTCGAGAGCGACTCCATGGCAGGGAGTTGGGTTTGGTTTTTGGTACAAGGCACTGACTAGGACTCGAACCCGGGTCTTCTGCATGGAAGGGCAGAAATCTGTCATTCAGCCACCACTGTTCCTCGTGCCTCTGAAGTCGGGGTGGGCAGACCAGGGCTGCAGCCCAGGGGCCCCGCAGCCTGCTGCCGTCACTACAGCTTGACCGGATGCAGGTACACCCAGGCATTCCCACATCGCCCGCTCTGCCCAGGTGAATGGCTGTGGGCCTGAAACAGTCACCCTCCAGCCCTTTACGGAAGACACGC